CCCTTACCCCTTACCCCTTACCCCTTACCGCCCTGTTCGTATCACAAATAATTCACAAATGAAGAAAAAATTGGCAAAATATGTGAGTTTCAATGTCGTTCAAAAAATAGAAAATGTTCGTTTTGACGAAATCATAGTTCTTAGAGGGGCTCATAGGTTAAGACCTTGGTTAGTTGACCATKAGACACTGCCTATGAGTGCCCTCACTACTCACGCGACTAGCTGAGAACTATGTTTCTAGCTCCCGAGGTTCCTGTATAACGAGGCTTGTATGCTAGTGCCTCAACTGGGGCTRAATGGTGGAGCTCATTCAGCGTCGGTGCCCGCATCCGCTGTCAGGTCAGGTTGCTCTAGTAAAGAGTGATGTTCCTCGCATGAGATAAGATAGAAATGGAGTGGGGGTGCGCCAAAAGATATATATTGAGAGGAGTGGTGGGATGGGAGTCTCGTAAGTAAAAAAAAAAAAGAAAAAAAAAAAAAAACAAACAAACAAACGTACACATAGCCTACAAGCACATACCTACAATACCGAACACACACACATACTTAACCATAGGGCTAGGATGAGGTCATTTCCAACTAATAATAGGCGTCTCGATGATAAGAGAGCGCGTGAGTTACTAGTCGGTCTACTTAGGGGCTAATAGGTGATTGCTTGAGCCTGGCGTCCGAAGTTCCCGTACGACGAGGCTCGACTATGCTTCCACCAGGGCTGGGTCACTAGCCCTGGTGCCTGTCACTACTGTTCGGTCCAAGTTTCCCTCGATGGTAGGGTAATGGTCCTGAGTGCTGGTCACACTGAGGTTATAGGGGGTGCGCTAGGAGTATTGACGTGAGGATGGGATGGGAGGTCGCCCCGTCTGTTCAATGCAATCATGGTTGACAACTTCCGGGGATCAATGTGAGCCTAGTAACAGGCAACTACAACACCCTGGACTTAAAAAAAAAGAAAAAAAAAGAAAAAAGAAAAAAAAAAAAAGATTTATTTTCACGGGTTTTGATTCTGTGTTTTCTTTTTGGAGAACAATAACATTTCCATTGAGAAAACGGGGGCCCGGGAACACACCCCTACATATCAACCCGGTACAAATCTTCTGAGGCCAATACTCAGCTTAGGGGTGGACCCCACAGGTCGGCGGCTGGAAACTGGTGTTGGCCACAAAAAAAAGGCCGACTGTGGTTGGAAAAAACTTGACRCATTTTGAAGAGGCCCCACCGCAGACCGATAGTTTCGACACTCGAAAAGGCATGGCATACCCGAATAGGAAACCGCCGAAGGGTGTTTCCCGGAAAGCCAAGTCGGGTGGGTGCTATGGACCATGGCCTGGTACCGCACTTCTCTTGGGAATACCGTGCGACACCACGGGAAAATACAAATGTCCTCCACGGCCTCCAAATACACAGAATGGTCCACGGCGAGGGTGCATGGTCCACGCCGTGAAGCCCGCGTCTGGAAACTGATGGACATGCCTCTCCCTCTGCTCAACTGCCCCCCTCCTTGGAAAGGGTCWGGAAACCGATCGGCGYCGAATTTCCAAACCGTGGACCATGTAGAAATGCCCCGTCACCATTTCGGCAACCTCTTTCCAAGCCARGTGGGGTCTGCAATTCCTTTCCGAGCCGGCTTTCCACACCGGTTTCCAGACCCAGTGGAGTCTGGAAAACACCCCGGTGCCCAAACTTTTCCAGGCCGCTGGCCAGTGGGGTCCACACCTTAAACCACCAATACCTAGCGGGTCTTAAGGCCCGTGGCTCAGGCTACCGGTAGCCCGGTCGTTCCCGAGCCTCGGTCTTTATTGCCGTGCCTCGGACAACCGGTAGGACATCACGGAAAACAAAAAAAACAAAAAAATTACATACAACGTTCAGCAAAAAAAAAAAAAAAAAAAAAAGGAAGTGAGACGTGCCCTGTGAGAATGAATCTTCCTTGACAAAGAGGAAGATTCATTCTCGTAAGAGAGAGAGAGAGAGAGAGAGAGAGAGAGAGAGAGAGAGAGAGAAAGAGAGAGAGAAGGAGGGCGTCATGGAGTATCTGACGCTGAGTTTTGTGCTCTCTCTCTCTCTCTCTCTCTCTCTCTCTCTCTCTCTCTTAAACCGGATGAATCTTCCGCAATAGCGTGGAAGATTCATCCGCGTTTGAGAGAGAGAGAGAGAAACTCAACGATCAAATGCTCTCTCTCTCTCTCTCTCTCTCAAACACGGATGAATCTTCCGCGATAACGCAGAAGATTCATCTGCGTTTGAGAGAGAGAGAGAGAGAGAGAGAGAGAGAGAGAGAGAGAGAGAGAGAGAGAGAGAGAGAGAGGGCGTCAGGGAGTATCTGGCACCGGCTTTCTCTCTCTCTCTTGCTCTCTCTCTCTCTCTCTCTCTCTCTCTCTCTCTCTCTCTCTCTATGTTACCACACGTTCATTGAACGCGAGTTCCGCGTTCAGTTTATGAATGCAGTGAACGCTCGTTCACTGAACGCGCCTGAACGCGATTGACGCATTTGCGCAGGGGGCTGTGCGGGGTGGGGGGGCCCTTTGGGCAATTTGGGGAGCGGCAACAGCGCTTGGGGGGGTTGTGGGCGGTGTGGGGAGCAGCGGCGCTGCTTGGGGGGGGGCTGTGGGCCAATGCCGCACACAAAACGAGAGGAAAAAAAAAAAGTGTGTGAATGTGTGTGTGTGTGTGCAGACAGCCCACGCAGGCTTTCTGAAGGCGGCGAAAAACATCCCCCAGGAGACCCACCACCCCGTGGGGAGCAGCGGCGCTGCTTGGGGGGGGCTGTGGGCCAATGCCCCACACAAAACGAGAAAAAAAAAAAAAAAAAAAAGTGTGTGAATG